CCCTTTTGAAGGACCAAGATCAACAATTTTATCAATAATTGCATTTAGCATCCTACAAAGTGTTAATCAGTGAAAAGCTGATTTAATGAGGTAAGAGGAAAAAAGCAGTATTTTCTAGAGGGTTACTGCTATGTAGCTGACATAAAAGAACAAAGTCCTTCTCCAGGAAAAGGACACAGAAGACAGACAGAGGAGCTAGCAGAGCTGAAAATCTAACAGCTACAGTGCTTTTTTTTGATTTATCTATTAGTATTAAGTACTACTACTGGAGTTAGTGGAAAGAGAGGGTTTGACTTGGGTTAGGAGAGGGGCTAATATACACAGGGCAGGACATACCAACCTTTTCCAAGTGTGGAAACACGACCTATATTCCCAATTAAATCTAGGGAGAGAATTGTGAACATAACTTCCCCAATTTTGGCCCCTCTTACAGGGGTAATCCACCTTCTTAATGGGTAAGGGAGTCAAATGATATTTTAGATGAAACAACAAGAAAAAAAATAAAAAATTTAAAAATTAAAAAAATCTTAGTGACAAGACAAAAAAAATTAAAAATTAAAAAATTCCACTGGAAGGAAGCAGTCCCAGACTGAAACCATAACTCTGAAACCCCCAGACTTCTTTCTTGAGACAGTAGGCACTTAAATAGATCCATTATTTTTAATTTCCAGCCCTATGTCTGAATCAAGCAGCTGGTAGAAGATGACCCAATGCACGAGGACACTCATCGCTGCTGGCCAGCAGGCATCCTCTAGCCGCCTTTGTAACCATCCAGCCCAGTCTCTTTTCACTGGCGTATCCACAAACTGGTTATTAGTGCCACGTCCTTAAAACTAAAAGTATGTGTTAATGTGGAGTAGCAAAGAGCTTTTTAAGAGACTAGATAGTAATCCACTCCCCATGGCTACTGGCGTCTTGACTGTATACCATCCAATAAATTCAAGGCAGTAGTTCTTATCCCAGAATTAAAAAACAAAACAACAAAAACAACAAAACAAAAACAAAACACTATAATTTCCAAAATTTAGTAAATGTCCATCATCTCTTTTTGCCAATACCATCAGAAAGAATAATCCCAATCACTTGGAAATGATGTAGATCCAAAATGGAAACATCACAAGCTGCCTTCCTTCGGTCTTCTCCATCCAAGCGTTAAGTTATTTCCATGGCTAAGTGTTGTCTGTAGAATCCAAGGGGCTGCATCATTAAAGTCTACTAGAAAAATTTTGTGCTGACAATCCAATTAACATACCAACTGCGTACAAGTGAGAACTGAGAACTAGGCATCAAGCTTTCACCCAATTTTGGGTTTCTAGTATTCCGAAGATACTCCACAGAGAACTTCACCACATGTTGTAGAGTAAGATAGCTCCATCTGGCAGCAGGGATACATCCGAGCAAGGCCTTAATATTATCCAAGAAATGGAATCGTTACTTCTAGAAAAGAGTAACTCCAATATCGATGCTGGCCAAAGGAAATCTTCCATCTTAAAACCACCTTATTTCAAGTGTAGATATCCAACCAGCTGCAGGAAAACATCCTCTATGGATCCACAAGGTACCAGCCACTGGGATACAAATCACTTCCGTTTCCAACCCAAAATAGGAAACATAGATAATTCCCAAAATTTTAAATCCATCTGGGGGCCCTAGATACGAGTTTGTGTTTCTCACCATATCAAATACAAAATACCTGCCTAGAGAAACCTTGGAACTTACCCATCAAGTCTCCGCTCATAACGTCCTTCCCGTGCATGAAGCGATGGTGGGGGGCCGTAAGTGGGCCCCCCGCCACCTCCTCTGAACCCAGAAACCTCTCTACTACGAGATGCTATGGAAACTGTATCATCCAATCCCCGAGCCGCACTGGGAATGGTTCCTGGTTCATTATAATCCGTCCGTAGGTCTCTATCTCCCATTTTGTTGACAGAGTTGTGTGCCTTCTGCGCACTTTTGATGTCCACAAAATCCACAAACGCTGCCACTCCGCCTTCCGACCCCCTTTTGGGGAGGATTTTGACACTTTCGACACGTCCATATCTGGAAGAAAAGGAAAGCAGAGGATATAGGTTAGAGCTGGGAGAAAAAGACCACGTTTCATCACATCACCTCCTGTAAAAAATCAACATCAATTTCCAACCATTCACCCTTCCCACACGGCAGGAAAATCAACCTCAAAGCACGGCAGAGGCTGGAAGATGCATTTTCAAAAATAGAGGGGGGGGGAAAAAAGCCATTTAAACCTTCCACTGTTATATTTTAAACTCCTCTCTTTTGGTTACCTCACCATTTTTATAATAATTTATAATAACAGAGCAACAACAGCTGAAAAAATAGAAAGGTATTTGCAATCAGAGCAGCCCTTAATCTGCCGAGCAAGACATAATTAAAACAAAACTGTGTCACAACAAGTACAAATAAAGACATCTCGACAATTTTCTTAAGGAAAAAAAAAAAATGACCTTGACACAGCAATTCCACTACTCCCAGCTATATTTAAATCCATTCAGCGCTAAAACAAGAGTCTTTATTCTCATCCTTGTTCCTGATTCTTTACAACAGCCTCGCAGGATATTTTCTAAGTGGATCGGGGTGTTTCTGGGGTTTAATTTTATATCCCCCACACAACCAGCACGCTGACGGGAAGATGATGCCACCCTACTTAATTAATTAGTTAAGTAATTGCAACACAGGCACTTACGGATGAGTAAATGTCTACGTAAAAATATATAAATAAATAAAGCCAAACATGTTTGTGCACACGAGAAAACACGATGTAAAAATGTTTTAAGTAATTTGCTTTAACTCAGAGCAGAAAGGAGAAAATGGGGACTCTGAACACAGCAATGTTTTAAAAGACACTTTTAATGATTAAAAGTTCACATTAAATCATTAAACTCGAGCCGTGTAAGTTGCATTTTGGTTGCTCATTTCTCTCAGCCAAGAGAATTTTGAGCCAAACAGGTTAATGGCTTTTAACTGCAGCTGGAAATCTGTGACAAAAAGAGGCAAAAAGTGTATTTTTGAATGTACTGACAAACAGGAAAGGGACAGACAAATTAAAAACTCCTCAAGAAATATTTGTAAACTCGATGAAGAATTATTGCAAGGAATTTTCTACTCACAAAGGCAGCGCAATGATGGACGGATGTCAACAGATCTTAACCAAGAAAAGCTGTTTTCAGCTTTTTTTGACCCAACAATAAGGTCACACAACTGCCCGTCCGAGGAGCAAACGCCGTCACAACCTGCATCTGACTCCATGTGTGGCCTTCACACACCTTAAAATTTCATCAGTGTTGGTGGATGACTCATCCTTAAACATGATTTGAAGACCTGCCTCGCTGGCTTCTCATTCCAACCTGACCTTCTGGACTTTGCACACAATCTGATTTGGATTTACATCTCGTTTTCCTCTGGTTTATACTCCACTGAGTCCAGGGTTCTGTCCATTATGGAATATGTGCACAAACCAGAGCATCTTTTGAGTCAAAAAGCACCTTTTTAGGTGTAAAAAGACATAAAAGCAAATCCCAGGTCACCTATGGGATTTGTTTTTGCCTCTGAGCAGTCCCAAGCAGAGCTTGCCACCTTCATACTCCTGAGTCCAGCGTGGTGACATTAATTCTCAGGAGCTTCCTAACCTGTAATATCAAATCAATGCACTAAAATTGGTTTTTATTATAATTAAAAGCTCCAAGGAGCAAATAATGGTGAATGGTATTGCAGGAAAAATACTTCTCAAAGTTTGTACTCTTCTGAATCTAGGTATGGTTATCTTGCCTTGAAGATATCTTCTATGGATAACCATATCAGAAAGACCAGAAAAGGAGAGAATAAATAATATAATAAAATCTGTGTGAGGAAAAAATTGGCCTAATTGGATGTGGCACATGTAAAGAGGGAAGAAAATGGAAAGAAAGAAGGAGGAAGGAAAAGAGGGAAGAGCCTGGTTGAAAATATGTTCATGCCATGAATGAACATGAGAAAAAAATCTGAAAAATAACAGGTATCCTCATTAACATCACCCTTTAACGTGCATTTCCAGGCCAGTTCTCTGCAGACAGCAAAGGAAAGATGCTGTAACAGGGCAGAGTGCTCCAGCTCTCACAGCCAGTGAGTTTTTCTTCTCAATAATGCAGTTCCAGACGTGACTGGTTAGAACATGTACTTTCCTTTAGCTCACTGTTTACACGTTCAGTTTCTGGCAAGGCAAGCCCATACTTTGTCTACAATCTTCAGGAAGGTAGGGAATAGTATCTGAGCAGCGCTCTTCTCATTACTAAAAAGAAAACCAGCTCTATTTCAGCTAAAAACCAGGACAACTCAAAAAAAAAACAACCCCTGAAATCCTCCTTGACCTCCTGACTGCTACTGCATATGAAGTGCTGCCTGCCAGTTACATCAGAAACAGGCTCCAAAAGCCTCTTCCCACTCACCATCCTGACAATTCTCTCATTTCCTCATTCTGAAATCCTAACACGGACGTGTTATTCTAACGTACGCCCAGACAGACCTCCATTATTTTTCTTTTGCTGCAGAAGATCCAGAATGTGTTCAAATATTTAAATATTCGAGCTAATGCTGCCCAGAAAGCACAAAATATACAGAATATTGATGTAATATACTCCCCGTGTAGCAACAAAATCATCCAGCATGACTCTCGCAGCCAGAGATAAATTTTTATCTTGGGAAAAGTGTATTTTGGTTGCTGTTAATTAAAAAAATTATTTTTTTTTTTCTTTCTAAATCAGAAATGGATGGGGGGGGAAAAATACTAGTGTATTCCCACTGCATCCATGGCCCTAAATCACCCCACTCGGAGCCAAGCACATTTTAATCCATCCATTACCCAGATCCATAAATATACGCTGCGCTTTGGTGTCCTGCACCGTCCCCTTGATGAGCCCCGAGGATAATCTGTGACAGTCGTCTGTGCTGAAAGCGAAGGAGGAGAAAGGGAACAGAAGGGAGAGGGGATGAAAGAAAACCCAGAAGGAGAGAGCCCTGAGTATTCAAGGCCAGCTGCTGGGAGAGGAAGGGTTGTATTTGGTCCTGTGATGACACATGTCCCTTCGGTCCCCCCCACCGTGAAGATTAATCTGTCTGCTGATCCCACCCAACCCCACCCCATCGGCGGCTCTTTGAGTCGCTCCCGTCTTGGCAGATGCTGTCGGGAGAAGGATCGACTGCATGGAAGGGAGAGGAGGGAAGATCTGCAGTGCTGCATCACCAGATGGATTTACTGCAGCAGAATAATACATGACAAGAAGAAAAAAAATAATTAAAAAAATAAATGAAAATGGTGTTTTCTGGAGAGCCGGGGGGAGGGGAGGCGGCGATAACGCCGCGTTGCGTTACACAGCTCGGATGTTCAGGCAAAATGGAGGCGAAGGCGCTGCCAGGAACAACCTTTGTGCGGATGCTGAGGGCTGGGAAGAGGGGACAAAAGACAAGGGGAGGCATCGCCGTGACCTTTGGTAACGTTCGCAGAGCGGCTCCTCTCAACCTTCACCTCAGATCTTTATACCTGTGTGTCAGCCCTTTTCCAAGAAGGCTGCGTGTCGCAATCCCTGGCAGATTAGAACAGAAAAAACAAAGAGGCTGGTTCGTTCAGCTCCCAATCCACAGCCCCTAACGAAAACAAGGCTAATTAGTGTCTCTTCCCATCTGCAACTCATGGCGGTTAATCGTTCAGCTCCGTACTGTAACGAAGGCGGCCCAGGCCGTGTTTTTCAGAGGGGTTTTACAGTTCAACCAGAAGCGGAGGAGACGAGGACGTGCGAGAGCCGTTCTGTCAGCGGGCCCCTCGGCCAGCCCAGCACGATCCCAGCGCTCAGCTGTAAACACAGAGATCTCGCCGCCCTTTCAGAATACAACCAAAAAAAAACTTGCTGGATAATCACCGCTCCGACAAAGCCACGTTAATCCAGCTTTCCAGACAAAGAAAAGGAATTCATAATTTAAGCATTATCGGGTTTATTCACTGTAGATCAAAGCACTTCTATATAATCAAGCAGCTGAAATGTCTCTGGGCTCTTGGCACGCTCGCTCGGCGTGTTTCTCTTGCTCTCCAGCCCTTCCTCCTCCCCAGCTCTTTCCTCCCGTTCCGACAGACAGCGCGTTGGGAAACGCAGCCTCCTCCAATGCAAAGCTGGGCTGGATCCTCCTCCCCGTGTCACCCAGACACAACCAAAGTCATCCCTCACCCTACAACCTGCCCTACGCGGGGGTACGGGCACCCTCAGCACCCTGATTTCTAATTAAGCATTTCATCCTGGGTGCTTACTCCAAACATCAAGTATTTTCTGCGCAGTCGCTGCTATTCCCAAGCAAAAGGATTTTAAACAAAGGAGGGACTGTGAGAAAGCGGCCGAGAAATGCTCAGCAAGCAAATGCTGCCATTTAGCTGCAATATTTTATTAACTGATTAGGGACTTTCTAGAATGATGTATCATAGAATCCCAGACTGGTTTGGGTTGGGAGGGACCTTAAAGATCATCCAGTTCCAACCCCCCTGCCAGCAGCAGGGACACCTTCCACTAGACCAGGTTGCTCAAAGCCTCATCCAACCTGGCCGAGAACATACACGACAGGGAAAGGAAGGTTAAAATCAGGGAAATTTGCTGTTTTAGTTTAAACTGAATCCCGTTTCAAATCATATTACCTCCTGATTTCTCACGTTGAGCTCGTGAAGACTTTTAAATCCAACCCTTGCCATCCCTGCAGATTTCAGAAGGTCAGATATATCCCAATCAACCAAGACTTCACCTTTTTATTGAGAAGCCGGCACGTTAACACTCCAGATCCTATTAAACCCGAGACACATCGCAAGATCCAAAACAACGCAGGAGGTTTTGCTGTGCTTGTTTCTGCACCGCTCGTTAAAACCATGATTAGACAAGACATCCTGATACATCAGGACATCTTGAATGCTTTGCATTCTCTTGGATTCACTCTGACTAGAGCCAAATCTCTTTAACCATCTGAGAAGCAGGGATGATTTTTCCGTGCCACACTCCAGCTCCTTCCTCCTCCATCATGATATAAGCCAGGCAAGCCCCAGCCTGTGCTATTCACCAAAACCCTCGCACAGCTTCAAGCTTTTCTTGGCCAACCCCATTCCTCTGGCTTTGTTGTTGTTTCATAACAAAATAACGTGACCTGAAATAATATTTCTCCAGATCTCTGCATCTCTTCTCCTTATCCATAAATCCAAATCAGTCCACGACCCCATGCGAGGGGTGACTCTAGTGTGGTGTTTCCCCCTCCACAAAGCAGATCTGCTCCAGATACAGGGAAACTCAAGATGTGCAAATACTAAAGCTGACATAAAGGAGAGAAGACCTGAGGAGAAGGACTTGGGGTGCTGGG